CGCAGCTGGGGTTTTTGATGCCGGTGCTGGATCACATTGCCGTAGGTTTGTCGCTGTTGCCACACACCTCTGCACGCCCAGAGCTGCTGCTGTTTGTCTATGGCATGACCTGGCTTGGATTCATCTTGCCATTACCGGATTACGCAGACATTGACCCACTTTCGTTGCTGAAGAGTCTTATGCACTTGGAGCCATTTTTGCCCGCATATGGAGTTAGCACCTCAGGTTTTTCCCTGTTGATCTTGGACTTCATCCATCTTGAACTGTCACTGTCCTTGCAAGGTTCCTTGTGCCTTGGTTTAGCCGTGTCTATTTATGGCGTTTCCAAACTGGGATTCTTGTTGCCAATTCTGGACTCTATCCATGTTGGCTTCTTGCTGTTGTCAAGATCTCTCTTGTATCTTGGACTAGCTCTCCTGGTATCTGGAATGAGTGGACTTGAATCATTCCTGTTTGCTTTGGACCATGTGCACATCGAGCCCTTCACACCTTCGCACAGCCTTTGCCGGACAGAATCTTCACCCTTGGCGTACGGAGTGTCACTCTCAGGCAGCTTTCTGTTGGCATTGGACTTTGTACTTCCAGGTTCCATTTTGTCAATTCAAAATTCTGCGCAACTTGACTTCAGCCTGTCAGTTTATGGTTTGACCAGACTGGGATTTTCTCCGTTCGCCTTGGACCTCGCTACTTTGGACTTCCCACTATTTGTGCAAACCCTCATGTGTTTAGGTTTTCTGCCACTAGTCTTTGGTATGAGTTGTTTGGACTCTTTGCTTTTACTGTTGGAACATGCTGTGCCAGATCCTCCCTTGTTGCTACAAACCTTCATGTGCTTGGGATCGTTGCCTTCCGTCTACGGCGTGACTTGCCTGGGACCGTTGCCTCTTGCGCTGGACTTTCTGAACCCTGGAAGTTTCATGTTTCTGCGGTCATTCCTTCGCTTCGGTTTGGCCATCTTGGTCTATGGAACAAGCTGCTCAGGCTTCTTGCCTCCCATGTTGGATTTCGCCTGTCCAGACTTGACCATGTCTTTGCGAACATTTTGCCAACCTGAATCTGTCTTGTCCGTCTTTGGTTTGTCGCGTCTTGACTTCACCCTGCCGATTCTTGATTTCGTGCAGATGGGATTTCCTCTGCCACTCCAGGGCTTCAATTGCTTGGAACTGGGAATGTCAACATATGGCATGCTTTGTTTGGGCTTGAGCTCGTTGGTGTTGGATTTCTTAGATGCAGAGCCACTGATTTTCCCCCGGGCATTCGTACACCTTGGACTATCTCCTTCCGCCTTCGGACTGATGCGTCCTGACCCTCTCCTGTTGCTGCTGGACTTTGTCAATGCTGGTCTCTCTTTGTCAATGCGTAGCCTTGTGCGAGCTGGAAGTGCACCTTTGGTCTACGGAGTAACTTGTCTTGGATCATTTTTGTTGGTTTCAGATTTTGCACTCATCGATTCGCTCATGCCATTGCAAAGGCTTGGACGCCTAGGATTTGCCCTGCTCATATTGCATGTCCCAAGGTTCGGTTTCACAGCATCCACCTTTGATTACTGTGGGACAGGTTCATTGGCGTTCTCACAACACTACGCACGACTCGATTCTGCAGCATCACTGTTCCACAACGTGCGCCTTGACTCATTGGTGTTGCTGTCCGACAGCATGACCATCGGATCTTCAATGTCAGTGCGTGCTTTTGCACGCTTGGGCTCGGCCATTTTTCTATTCTCCTTCGCGCGCTTCGGATCCGAAATGTTGACCTTAGACTTTTTGCACCTTGAATCATCCATGCTGCCAAGGGGTGTCTCACGCACTGGCTCCACAGTCTTCATTTGGAGCCGTGGCCGGCTAGCATTGTCCTCGTTTGTACCTGACTCTTTGCATTCAGATTCCTCTCCCCTGATACGTTCTCTTTCACGTACTGAACTTCACTCCTCACTTGCTGGACGGTCCCGAACTGGTTCGAGCCCATTCTTCTTGGATGCTGTTCAAATTGGCTTCTTTCTATCGCTCCAAGCTGTTTGCTGTTCAGAGTTCTTCGTTCCATTGGTAGGTGTTGGTAGCTCTGAATTCAGCCTGCCTCTCTTGGACAGAATCACCCTAGGCTCCTTTCTGTTGCTCAGAAGCCCCGCGCAACTGGAGTTGATGCTACTGGTGCTGGCATTTGCCAACATGGAACTGTTGGTGTCGCTTTTGGACCTCGCAGAATTTGGCTTCATCCCGTTGTCCCATAATTTTGGAAGAGTTGATTCGACACCGCCGGCCTCCTCATGTGCACAGTTTGGGCTGCCTTTGTTACTCTTTGATTTGTCATACTCTGATTTGGTGGCATCAGCCAGAAGCGCTACGCAGCTTGGATCCATGCTGCTCTTGTTTGGCATCTTCACCATGAACTCGTTGATGTTGATTCTGGATCATTCGAACCTTGGGTTACCTCTGTTGCTGAGAAGCTTTGCACGTCTTGGAAGTACGTTCTCTGCATTTCAACGTGGATCGATGGACTCCTTCATATTTACCCTTGATGCGCAGTTGCTGGACTTGTCCTTGTCGCTCAGGTCCCTGTTGCAACCAGACTCTGCGTTTTTTCTCTTTGGCATGACCAGAATGGGTTCCATGGCGTTGCTTTCCGATGCAACAATCTTTAGCAGTTTCATGTCACCAAGATCATTTGCGCATCTGGAGTCATTTCTTTTGGTCTATGGCCTTAGTCGTTTGGACTTGACGTCGTTGCTGTCAGATTCCGCTACGTTAGACCTGTCGTTGTCGCTCCACAGCCTCAAGTGCTTGGGTTTCAACTTGAGTATCTTCGGCACTCAACGATTTGAGTTGTCACTCTTGGTATTGGACCTTCTAAACTCGGGCAGCTTGTTCTTGCTACGATCCCTCTCGAGGTTAGGCTCCACAACCTTGCCCTTCGATACAGGCAGATTGGATTTCTCGATGTTTGCCCTCGACTTCTTGCATCCAGGATTGTTGCTTCCGCTCAAAAGCTTTGCATGACTGGACTCCAGATTCCTTGCTTTTGGCAAGACTAATTTGGGCTTCTTGATTTTGCTCTTGCATTTCGCAAGTCCCGAGAGTTCCTTGTCACTCCAAAGCCCTTCACATCCTGAGCCTATGTTGTTCGTTGTAGGTGTCAGCAGACTAGGCTTGTTTCAGTTTGTGTCGGACCATTCGCTCATCGGCTCCTTTGTGTCCCTTCGTAGTTCTGCACGCTCCGGATTTACCATGTCGGTGCTGGACATTTCTTTCTCCGGATCTCTGTCGTCGCTTCAAAGCCTTGGCTATTTGGGTTTAGTGCCACTTACCTTTGGTCAGACAAATCCAGAGTTGCTGCCATTGATTTTGGATGCCACTTGCCTGGAGCTGCCTCTCTTAGCACATAGCTTCAACAGGCCAGGTTTGACCGTGCCAATTTTGGGTATGACATGCTGCGGCTCCATTGTTTTGCTATTGGATGCCATGAGAATTGACAGCTCTCTTCCTCTAAGAGCCGTGGCATAATCAGGGTTCATCATTTTGCCCAGTGGCATCAGTTGCTTTGAATTCTCTTGCTCAATCATTGACTTCATGCCTTTTGGACTGATTCTGCCACTGCAAAGTACGGGAAAGTTGGGCTCATCATTCTCATTATTTAGCAGAAGCAGCCCAGGGTTATCCTCCCTGCCTTTGGATGCTACGTGCTTAGGATTCTCCCTGTTGATGCAATCCTTTGGACAATTGGGATCCCTGTTTTTCATCTTGACGGCTGTGCGACCTGACTTGTCGCCCTTGGTCTTTGATCTTGCCGGCTTCGGCTTTTTCACATCAGTGCGAGACCTCGGCTGTTTGGGTTTAGTGTTGTTGTTGGTATCCACCTCCCGTTTCGGCTTGTCCATGTTCGCCTTTGACATGGCGCACACCAACTTCTTGTTGTCCTTAAGAGTTCTCGCAAAAGCTGGAAGCCAGCCATCCCCCTTTGGGCATTTCCGACTGGGTTTCAGCCTGCCTCTTTTGGACTCCTCACATTTGGACTTGCTGCTGTCAATAAGGCATTTTGCACATCCAGCCTTTCCATTCTCTATCTTTGGATCTGCAAAGTCAGAATTCATGCTGTCATTTTTGGATGTCATGAGAATTGATTCAACGCTTTTACTACAATCCTTTGGATGGCTTGAATCTATCTTCCCAGCCTTCGGAATGGGATGAATGGGCTTCTTCCCGCTTGTGCTGGACCCTCTGCATTTAGAATCGTTCTCGCCGACAAAAAGCTGTGCATGTTTGGAGCCATCGTTTTCCATGTTCTCAAAGGCACGCTCAGGGTCAATGCTGTTGCTTCTTGACCACACTTTGTTGGACTCCTTTTTGTCGACTCGATCCCTGCAACAGCTCGGAAGCGCGTTCAGTTGTTGCGGCATCAGCAATGCCGGATCTTTAATGCTAGTCCTGGACCTTGCCCATCTCGACAGTGTTTTGTCCTCAAAGGGATTTGCGAAATTTGGACTCACTTTGTCAGTCTTTGATTTTTTGCATCTGGAGTTCACTCCTTTGCCAAGGTCGTTCTCATGACTGGGTTCAGCATTCTTCCCAACTGGTTTGGCATGCTTTGAGCCATCGTTGTTTGTTTTGGATCTCTTGCACCTGGACTTTGTGTTGTCGCTGCATAGCCTTGGACATCTTGACTCTGCGCTGCTCACGTTGGACTTTTTGCGTCTGGGCTCGTCCTCGTTTCTCCGAAGTTGCGTCCACGTGGCATTCTCGGCGTTGATCATTGGAGCTGCTCGATTTGGCCTCCCCTTTTCGATCTCTGATGGCATGCTCTTGGGGTCTTTGTTGTTCATCAGGTCCTTTGCTCGAATAGACTTCCACTCATTGGCATTCCAACGTGTGACCTTGGGATCCTCCACACCAGCATCCGACTCCCTCAACTCAGACAGCTCTTTGTCACCACACAGCTTCGCCAAGTTGGGGTCCGCATTCTTAGCCATGTCATCCACACAACTAGATCCATCATTGCTGTTACTCGACATGGTCTACAGTGGCTCTTCGATGCCATCGCAAAGCTCCTGTCGGCTGGACTTCTCACTTTTGATCATGGACTTTCTGGCACTTGGATCTGTGCTGTTGGTCCATGGCCCTGCACGATTGGCTTCCACGGTCTCCGCTTTGGACTTCCTGCATCTGGACTCCACCCCGTCAGTCCGAAGTCTTGCTCGGTCTGGATCCATTCCATCAATTCGCAGCTCCATTCATGTGGGCTTGGCCTTTCCTCTTTGTGGCTTGGGCCACCTGGAGTTCACACTTTTTGCCTTGGATCCTGTGCAGCTGGGAAGCCTTCTGTTGCTTCGAGGCTCCAGTTGAATGGACTTTGCAGCACTGATATTGGATCATCTCCGTTTAGGTCTCGCCTCGTTGATTCGGTCTGTGGCTCACTTGGGATTCCCTTTCTCCGTTTTCTCCGCAGCGCGCTTGGGGTTTGCACCCTCGGTATTCGATAGTACGCACCCAGGCAGTTCCATACTGCTGCAAGCAACGGCACAGCTTGGTTTGTATTTTTCAATTTTTGGGGAAAGTTGTTCAGACTTGACCTTGCTGCTCTTCGACTGTACCACTTTGGGCTTCTTGATGTTCATCCGAGCCTTGGCCTGCTCTGGATTTTACTTCTTGCCCTTCAGTCGTGCGCTGTGCGGACCAAGCTTGTCGATTTTGGATTTCCTTCACTTGGAAAGCTTGATGTTAGCAAGAAGCTTCAGCAGGGTTGGAAGTGCTGTGTCAATCTTGGATTATTTGCATATCGATTCCTCCATGCCCTCGCAAAGTGTGCTGCAACTGGACTCACCTTTCTTGGTCTTCAGCAATGCACGGCTTGGATTTCTGCTTTTTGCTTTGGATTGCATTGTGATGGGCTTGGCCTTTTCCTTGCAAAGCTTTGCCCACTTTGAGCTGCCGATGTTGGTTTCAGACTTCGTTGGACTTGGTTCCTCGGTGTCTCTCAGAAGCATGGTGTGTTGTGATAGTTTGGTCTTTGTCACGTCCCGTGGTCGATTTGGTTTTTCACTCCTCATCTTAGATTGCGTAGCGTTGGAAAGTTTCCTGTCACTCCGAAGTGCTGCCAGACCTGGATTTGGGTTCTCGATCTTCGGAAGGACGACCTTAGGCTTTTGCATGTTGGTTTTGGATCACGTGACTCTGGACCTCCCACTGTCAATTCAATCTCTCAGCTATTTGGGCTTCTCAGTGTCTATCTTGGCATACTCTGACTTCGACTTTACAGTGCCTTTGAGACCCTCCGGATACTCAGAACCTGTCTCTCCAATCTCTGGTGAAGCGCGTCTTGACTTCCGGTCCTCAAATTTTGATTTTGCCGCCATGGGTTTGAGCGCGTCACTGAGATCGATGGCTTGTCTTGGCTCGATGATGTTTCTCTTTAGCAAGTTGACTCTGGGTTTAATGCCTTTGGCACTGGATAGTGTTCATTTGGGATTCAGTTTGTCCACAAGGAGTCTTGCACGCTCGGGCTTTTCACCTTTTGTTCTGGATCTCTTCAGGCCAGATCCTTGCATGTTGGTGCAATCGATGATGCGTGTTGGTTTGGCTTTCTTAGCTTTCTCCACAACCCGATTTGGCCTAGCACCGTCATTGTCGGAGTATGCGAATCTTGACTTTGTCGTGTCACTCAGATCCTTCATGCAACTCGGATTCACTCCACTGGTCATGGACTTTGCAAAGATGGGATCCATTCTGTTGCCGAGAACCTATACCAGATTTGAACTGTTCATGTCCTTGTTCGGTAGAGCTTGCTTTGGCTTCGTGTTGCCGGTCCTGGATTCTTTGCATCTTGGAAGCTTCCTGTTGTCACGATCCATTGGCTGTTTCGGTTCCTCTTCCTTGATATGGAGCAGGTGGTCACTTGACTCAGCCTTTTCTGTGTTGGACCACATGGATTTTGACTTCACTTCATCCCTTCAAAGCTCTGCCCGCTTGGACTTCACTCTGTTCCTCTTGAAATGTGCAGAGCTGGACCTGTCCTTATTGTCGTTAGATTTCAGTGAGCTGGGCTTCATCATGCCATTCAGAGAAGCCTCATGTTTTGGACCTTCCCTGTTCACATTTGGCATTGCTCGCTTCGACTCTGCCCTATCGGTGTTGGACCTTATGCAGCTAGGATTGTCTGTCTCCATGAAGAGCAACTGTCATGTGGATTTATATTTCTCAGTGTCCGGCACTGCGTGCTTGGGATCTAGTCTGTTCGTCTTCGACATGAGTGCACTTGAATCACCAATGTCATTGAGATCATTCGGCTACCTGGGTTTCGCTATGCTCCTTGCTGCACTTGCTCGGTTTGATTTGACAGTATTTATTTTTAACATGGCGATGTTGGGTTTCTCCACATCTGTGCGGGCTTGCGCTCGAGCAGAGCCACTCTTGTCTCTGTTCAGCATGATGTGTCTTGAACTCAGTTTGCTAATGCCGGATTCTTCAGCTCCAGGGTTCTCGATGTTTATGCAATTGCTAGGGAAATCAGGTTCAAATCCATCAGTCTTCGGAGCGACTTACCTGGAATCCACGCTAGCCATGTTGGACCCTAGTCACCCAGGCTTGATTTTGTCCATCAGGGGATCATCCCAACTAGATTCCACCACGTCTGTCTTTGCTGGCAGAATTGGAACCCTGGTCTTGGTCTTGGATTTCCTCCACATAGAACCTCTGTTGTTGATGAGGGGTGCAGTCCAACTTGACTTCACCTTTCTTCCATTCAGTGCTGGAAGGCTAGGTTCAACTTCTTTTGTTTCAGACATCGGCTGCCTTGGCCCCTCCTCATCCATGCAAAGCTCGGGACGTTTAGACCTCACTTTGCTGATTTTTGATACAGTTCGCATGGGCTTCAGCCTACCTCTCTCAGGTGTCTATGAACTTGATTTCTTGATGTTTGTGAGGGCATCAAGCCGTTTTGGCAGCGCTCTATCTGTCATCACTGCCGTCCGCTTGGGGCTCTCACTGCTGGCTTTTGACATCGCCGAGTTTGACTCAGCATTCTCATCTCAAAGCAGGACATGTCTTGGTTTCGCATCATTCCCAATTGGCCGTGGGCGCTTTGGATTGCTCATGTTGATCTTGGACCATTTGAGGCTTGATCCTTCCCTGTTTTTCCAAAGTCCCACAAACATGGGATTGCGGTCCCCAACTTTTGGCAAGATGGTTGTGGGTAGCTTTGTACCAGTCTTTGACTTCGCTTCCCTTGAATCCATGTCGCCAGTGCGATCTTCTGCTCATTCAGACCCTTTGTTGTTGACCATCGGACTTTCGAGACACGAATTGTTGACGTCACTCCTGGATCTTTTGAACTTGGGATTGAGTCTGTCCTCGAAGTATTTCGCATGTCCTGGCCCAAGCATGCTGCTTTTTGGAGTGTCACGCTTTGAATTCCGACTCTCAGTATTTGACTTAGCAGCTTTAGATTCTTTTCTGTTGATTCGCAGCATGGGGCATTTGGGTTTCTCGCCATTGGTCTCTAGGGAAGCCTCCGTGGACTCCTTGATGTTTCCCCTGGACTTTTTGTCACTGGGCTCCTCAACTCCACCACAAAGCACGGCCCGAATGGACTTGACCACGTTGCTAATCAGCTGTGCAAGACTCGACTTGGCACTGCTCATGCTGGATGTTATGAAAATTGATTTTCCACTTCCCATCAGGAGCTTTGCTCAACTTGACTCAAGATTCTTGACCTTCAGTACAGCACGTCCAGCGCTACCCTTGTTCATCTCCGATTGCACGGCCCTGGGATTCTCCTCATCACTCAGAGCCCCAAGCAGATCAGAACTTCTGATGTCGATCTTCGACAGAGTTCATCTTGGTCCAAGCATGTTACCCCTTGACGTCGCAGAGTTGGGATCGTTCCTTTTCATCAGAGCCTGCGTGCGTACAGGTCCAGTGATGTCGGTTTTCTCCTGTGTTCGCTTCGACCTTTCCCTTCTGGTGCTTGATAGTGTTCACTCAGGATCGTCGCTTCCAATGCAATCCCTTGTGTGGCTTGGATTGATGCTGCTGATGCTGGATGTCGCACATTTGGGTTTGGCCATGCCATTGCATTCCTTTTCTCGTTTGGACTCTGTGTTTTTCGCCTCCAGTTCTGTCAGGCTGGGCTTCCCTCCCTCTGCCCTTGGTTGTGCAGAGATGGGATTCATGACGTTCTTCAGGAGCTGTGCTCAACCTGATTTCACCATTTCAATCTTTGGCCATGCGCGTGCAGACCTGAACCTGAGCATCAAAAGCTTCGCTTGTTTGGGCTTTAGTCTCTCAGTCTTCCAAGCAGTCAGATTGGGTTTGTTGCTGTTGGTACTGGATCCTGCACGGCTTGGCTTCTCGATTCCACTCCAAAGCTTTGCCTGTTTGGGATTGGCCACGTTTGTGATGGATCATGCAAGAATGGAATCCTCACCGTTGATGCGAAGTGCAGCTCGTTTCGGACTCATTTTGCCCGCCTTTGGAATGACGTGCTTCGGTTTGAACTCATCAGCTCTGGATTCTCTGAATTTGGACAGCTCTTTGCCACTACAAAGCTTCTCCTGGTTGAGCAAAAAAGCATCGGTCTTTGGTACTCTCAGATCTGACTCTCCAACGTTGGTGTTAGACTTTTTGCAACTGGGCTTACCACCGTCGGTGCAACAGCTCATGCGGCTCATGTCTACATTCTTTGTCCTAGGCCTTTCACAGTTTGACTTGTTCCTGTTCATGTTGGACCTCAGTAGTTTTGAGTCCATTCTGTTTGCACGCTCCCTTGCTCGGCCTGACTCCGTTTTGTTCGCGTCCGACCGCGCGAAGTTGGACTTGTCCATATCCTTACGAGCGACGACATGGCTTGAATCAATGCTTCTGCTTTTTGATGCTGTGCGTCTTGGCTTGGGCATGTCAGTCTTGGACTTTCTGCACCTTGGCTTTCTGTCACCTGTGCAAAGCTCTCAACGTCCAGAACTCACAATTTTCTTCTGCGGTTTCCTGTGGCTAGGCCCCATGATGCTTACTCTTGATTTGGCCACGTTTGAATTATTGCTGCTAGTGAGAAGTTCAGGTCATGCAGAACTGACCTTTCCGATTTTCGGAGCTGCCCAAATGGACTTTTTGATTCTAATCCTGGACCATTTGCGCCCAGCCCTTTCCTCACCATTGAGGTCACTTGGTTGTCTAGAAATGTCGTTCTCAGCCTTTGGTGCTGTTCGTCTGGGCTTTCCAATTCCAGTTCTGGACCCTTTGCACCCGGGCCTAGCCTTGTTTGTGCGCAGTTTTACAAAGTCGGGTCTGTCAGCACTACTGCTGGACGGTTGTCGCCTTGACTCGGCGATGTTTCTGCGATCTATGGCACATCTGAGCTTTTCCTTCTCCGCCTTCAGCGCAGGCCAACCAGGCAGCTTACCGTTGGTCCTAGACTTTGCTTTGGCTGGTTCTACCCTTCTTCTCCGCAGCTCTGTTTGGCTGGAGCTTCCTTCACTGGCTTTGGAAGCGGCAAATTTCGATTCGCCGATCTCATCGCAAAGTTTTGCTTGACTAGACAGCTCCATGTCTCCCTTTGGACAAGGCTGTTTCGGTTTCACCCTGCCAGTGTCAGACCTCGGTGAGCTGGGTTCGTTTCTCTCACTGAGAAGCTCTGCACGACTGGAGTTCGTGTTGCCTTTGTTGGACCTTTCTGCTGCAGGCCCCAGCTTGCCTCTGCGATCCTTTGCCTCACTGGGTTTGGCCTTCTTGACCTTCAGTAGAGTAGAACTAGACTTCTCAATGTTGCTCCTTGACCATCAGTTGCCAGGCTCCTCCTTGCTTCTTCATAGCTTTGCTTGATCAGGTTCAGTGTTGTTGGTGCTGGATCTCTTGCATCTGGAATTGCCATTGTTCTTGAAGGGAATGTCTTGATCAGACCTTTTGGTGTTTTTGTTCTCATCGGCACGTCTTGGACCGCTCTTGTTGGCGTTCGACCTTCTTCATCTGGGTTCTTCTTCGTTTGCGCAAGGCATCAATCGAACCGATGCATTTCCTTCAACCTTGGACTACACACAATCTGATTTGGCCCTCTTTGTGAGATCCATGTGTCGGATGGCACTGACCTTGCCAGCCATTGGAACAAGTTGCTTCGAATCAATCCTGTTTGTCCTTGATTTTGCAATAACGGGACCTTCGACATCAATTCATAGCGTTGCGTGCCTTGACCTACCGCTCTTCGCATTGGACATCTCCAATTTGGAACTCTCGCTGTTTCTACGTAGCTTCGGACGTTTCGAATTGCTGACGTCAGTCTTCAGAGAATCGAGTCCGGAGGTGTCAATTTCAGCACTGGATTTTCTGCATCTTGGTTTCCTGCTGTCAACACACAGCCACGCACATCTCGGCTTCTCCGCGCCAGTCTTGCGAGTCATACGGTTCTCTTCCTCCTTGTCACCCAGGTCATTCTCCTGCTCTGAGCCAAATCTGTCTGTTTGTGGCCTAGCTTGACTGGACTTGTCGATGTTGACCCCAGACATGACTAACACGGAGTTTTCCTTGCTGCCGCAATCATTTCTTTGTTTGGGATCGACGGTCTCAGTGTTTGGCGTCTCTCGCGTGGGTCTATCCCTTTTGGTTCTTGACTTTGCCTGCCTTGGTTTCTCCTTGCCTTTGCACGACTACTTGCGTTTGGGTCCTCCAATGTCGATTTTTGGACGGTCATGCTCTGGTCCAACACTGTTGGTGTTTGATCATTCCTTATTTGGATCAGTCGCTTCAATGAGGGTGCATACATGCCTGGGTTTGACATCCCCTATTGTAGGTATGGCCAGACTCTACTTTCCCATGTCACTTCTGGGAATTGCAGAATTCGACTCGCCCTTGTCTTTGAAGAACTGGGTGCATCCTGGTGTCATGATGTTTGTCTTCCGTGGTGCATCATTTGAATCGTCCATGTCAGTTTCAGACCACAGCTACTTTGGCCTCTCACCTTCTGTGCAAAGCCTCGCAAGAATTGACCCTGCAGTCTTTGTCTTGGATTCCTTGCACTCAGCTTTCGCACTGTCTCTACGTAGCTTCACTCAACCAGGATCCTCAGCATCTCCATTCGGCAGGTTGGTCATCGACTCCATGCTGTTTGTTTTAGACTTCCTGCATTTGGACAGTGGATTTTCAATGCGCAGCTCTGCATGCTTGGGCTTTCCCATGTTCGTTTTGGATAGCGCTAGACTCGGTTCTTTCACGTTCATACGAGAGATTCTTCACTTGGGAAGTGGCCTGTTCTTGCTAGGCTGCTCTCGTTTTGACTCTATTCTGTCGGTGTCAGATTTCCTGCACCTGGGCCCTTTGTTGCCACTTCAGCAGCATGTCCGACTTGGACTGCCAACATTCCTCTTCAGCAAGGCTCGACTTGATCTTACCACTTTCGTGTTGGACCACACTTTCACGGGTTTTTTGTTGTCAATCAGATCATTTTTCCAAGTTGACCTCTTGGCATCAATCTCTGATTGCGTTCGTTCGAGCTTTTCGATGTTGCTCTCGGGTCTGGTCGAACCTGGCTTCACTCTGTCCTTCCGATCTGTCGGTCGCCCAGCATCGAATTCGTCACTCTTTGGTCGCTTACGGCTGGATGTCTCCATTTTGGTGCTGGATAAGACCTTCTTAGGCCTGTTTCTGCTGATGCGGAGTTCTGTTTATCTCAACTTGTCGATGCTTGTTCTGGACCCTACACAGCTGGGCTCAATGATTTTGTTGCATCAACCGGCATGCTCGGCTTCGATTCTGCTGGTCTTCGGTTCTGCCAGGCTTGACCTGCCACTTTTTGTTCTTGACCTTTTGTATCTTGAAAGTTCCTCATCAGCACGCAGCCTCGTCAGGTTTGAATTTACAGTTTCAACACCTAGTTTCACACGAATTGACTTTTTCATACTGGTGTTAGACCTTTTGCACTTGGGCTCCACCTTGTTTCCACAATCATCTTCTCAAGCGGGTGCAGCCTTTTCAGCATTTAGGGCAGTTGAACTGGGCTCCAGTTTGCCAGCATTGGATTTTCTGCACTTGGACTTGGTGCTACCTTTGAGGAGCTCTTCTCGCCTTGAGCTGATGCTGTTTCCTCCAAACTTTGCCAACTTCGGATTGATCTCATCTTTGCGGAATTTCGCTTAACCTGGATCAGCGGTATTGATATCAGACCGCCAGCATTTAGGCTCACTCATATCATTGCATCAACACGGACGCTGCGGATCTGCCTTGTTGGCATTTGGCCTGAGTAGATGTGGATCAAACTTTCCGGCATTGGACTTTGTGAATTTGGGTCTAGTGTTATCAATACACAGTTTCAGTCAATTTGAACTGACGACTTCCCCTATCGAATTCGCTCGTTGTGGTTCATCCTCTTCCATCAGAAATTGCTATCGCCCTGGTTTCGCCTCATCCATCTTTCAATCTGCCAGATTTGATCCTGGTGTGTCTGTTTTCGATTACCTTCGGCTTGGTTCCATCCTGTCCCTCAGATCCATGTTGTACGGAGGACCGTCGATGTTTTTGCTCGGTAGGGTGCGGTTTGGTCTTTTTCTGTTCCTGGTGGATTCCGCATACCTTGGACTGCTGCTGTTTTTGCATACCTTCGCCTGTTTAGGTTCCACCCCACTTGTCATCAACTATATTCACATTGGCTTTCCTCTCTTCTTAAGATCAACGAATCACATGGGTTCAGCCACGTCGTCAATTAGCTGTGCGCGTTTGGAACTGATGACATTGACATTCGACTTCGCTCAGTTGGGATTCTCCATCTTTTTGAGGAGTTTTATCAGGATGGGCTTCCTGCCGCTAGTCTATGGCATTTCCAAGTTGGACTCTCTGGTGTTTGTCTTGGACTTTGCTCCTTGGATGCAGATGCAGACATTGCGTGTTAAAATCAATGTGTGTGTTGATATGAATGTGTGTGTGTGCGCGTATTATTGTGTTCGATGTCTTGTTCAGACATCCAGAAATATCAGGTGTTTGAAGTCGAAGTGCAACAATCAACTTGATTTTTCAGAGGTGTCTTTATGTCGCTCAAACAATCCTATGTCAATCAGCCAGATGGACAATTGCTCTCCGCAAAAAAAAACATGCTTGAAACTTGAAACTGGCATTTTTGACTTGCCCGCACAAATTAAAATGTTACATGGCAAGACGGGTATCATGGGAGACTTAAGCTCCAAATTCTATTCACTCAGACCCGGCAGTTCACCGCTGGGATTTTGTGAATGTTATAGATTGCTATAGCGGTAATAAACACATATATCTTTCTATGATGTGTAGTTATGCGGATCTATAATGTAAGATATGTGATATTATATTCTGTATAGAAGGATGTGTAGATACACATATTAAACATGTCATAGGTTATAATCAGCATAATCAGCTCGCTGTGCGCTACCGCTTCAAGGTACACATGGGTTCCACCACACCTTTGCGAAGTCCTGCACAGCCGGACTTGGCACCCTTGGTGTATGGCATTACGACACCTGAGTCCACGTTGTTCACTCTCGTACCTGGGACTTGTTTGGCACAACAGATGCTGTTTGACAGGTGATCTGGTGGTGGATAAAAATGGTGATGAGGATAAAGCAAACATTTTATGGATGGGAATATATGGAAATTGGAAATATATTATTTATTTTAATATATATATATATATGTGTATATATGTATGACCCAACAAAATTGGGTGTGACAGTGTGTCTGAAAATTGGGTGTACCCCAAAAAATGGCATCGTTTTTTCGGCAAGATGATTAACCAGTGGATTTGGGGGTCCTCTAATTTGAGACAAACCCAGTGTCGCAAATTTATGGCTATGCATGGCTCGAAATATCTGGAAATTATTTGGGTCAAATTTTGATCATTGAAGAACAAAAAATCAGATCTGTCGGTCCATATGTCGCTGTTGTGTGCAACGAAAACGTTCGGTGTCTATCTCGACTTTGTATTTGTCTCTGATTATTGGGACTATTTTGCAAACCAGGATACCCAGATCAACTGAGATTTAAATAGATTTCCAGTACAAGATGCAGACATGCATTCGTTACATTGTAATTGATTCAGGGAGAATCTGTCCTTCAAAGGGGTTCGACCAAATATTCTGCTGATTTTGAAGGACGATTCTCAAGATAGCGTTGAACACTGTTGAACCATGGGGCTATTTGGGTCCTAAATGGCCCTACATAGTCTGATCACCTTGGTCAGTTGCTGGACATGTATAGGTCAGAAACCCCGAGAACACTGCGATTTTGAAGATCAAAACATGTGTTGCAGAATGGTGCCTACCTAGTCTCTAGTCTGACAACCGAACATCTCAGGACTTTCTACATACGGGCTCCTCATGTTCCTTGCAAAGTTCGATCCACGTCGGCCTGAGATTTTTCATGTTTGGCCAAACGCGCTTTGATTTGATGCTCCTGATCTTGGACCTTGCATGTTCCGACTCCGCCGCATCCCCACGAAGCTCCGGTCGTTTGGGATTGGCCATTTTGGTCTACGGGCTCACACGTTCAGGATCAAGTTTGTTAATCTTGGACTGGAGCAATTTTGATTTCTCCATGTTTCTCAGAGGTCATACGTGCTTGGAATCCATGCTGTTCGTGTACGGATGCAACAGGTTGGGAAGCATTTTGTTGGTCTTGGACTTTTTGCACTCGGACTTGACTGCATTACCTCAAAGCTTGATTCGTTTCGGCTTTTGCGCCTCTGTCATGGGCATCGGTCAACTTGGATCGTCCTCGTTGGTGCTCGACTTTTTGCACCCTGGATCCCTTCTGTTGCTGCGAAGTTCTGTTTAAATCGATAGTGTTCTGTTGGTCTTGGACTTCTTACACTCAGACTCGATGCTTTTGCTGCGTTCTTCCGGCAGGGTAGACTTGATATCGTCAGCGATGGATTTCTTAAAGTTGGAGCTGACCCTGTTTCTGCAACAGTTCTCGCAAACAGATTTTGCGTTCTCGCCACTAAGTCCTACATGCCCAGATGTTGCACCTCCAGTGATGGATTTCGCTCACTCCGAGTTCTCCATGTTGTTAAGGTCTTCCATGTGGTTTGAATTGGTTCTTTTGGCATTGGACTCTTTGCACCTAGGCTTAATGCCACTCTTGCGATCATTTGGTCAACCAGAATTGTCTTTGCCAACCATCGAAAATGTTCGTTTGGAGTCAGCGATGTTGATATTTGACGTCACAAGACCAGATTCGTTGTTGTCCTTGCACGGAATGGCCTGCATGGGACTTGCATTTCTTGCTTCAGGAGAGTTGTGCTTAGGCCCATTTCTTCCTACGTTGGACCTTGTTCATCTGGCCTCATCGGTATCGTTGCAAAGCTTCAGTCACATGGAAGCCTTGCCATTTGTTGTGGACTTTACACTTGTTGGTTTACCATTGTCACTTCAAAGTTTCGCAAGACTCGGTCTCGCAGCTCCTGCGTCGGACTTTTTGCATTTGGGTTTCTCACCCTTGGTCAGGGATCTGGTGCATTTGGGCTCCAGGATGTTTCTGATGGGCAAGTGTTGTCCAGAATTGATTTTATCGCTGTTGGATGTCGCAGAATTCGACCCTTCTCTGTCCCTGCGGTCAGTTCTTCGTTTGGACTCACTCTTATTTGCCTCAGACTTCGTCGGCATGGAATCACTGATTTTCCTGCAGCAGTCCTGCCATTCAGACCTGATATCGTCAGCCCTTGGTTTGACGTGTCTTGGATTTGTATCCTCCTCGTCAGTGATTGACTGGACCATTCCGGGCTTGATGTCATTGCTCCGAGAATTTGCGTGACCTGAGCTGCCTCTTTCGGTGTTGAATTATGCAAGGCTTGAACTACTGATGTTGACTCGAAGCTTCGTTTGGCTCGGATTGGCGTTGTTGGTGTTGGATCTCTTGCACCTGGGGCTGTCCGTGTTTCTTCGAAGTTCCGCTTGGCTTGGTTCGGTTTTGCTTGTGCCAGACTCTTTGCATTCGGGCTCCTCACTTTCATTGCAAGCAGTCGTTTGTCCTGAAATTGCCACGTCACCGATGAAAAGGTGCACTCTTGGGCCGTTTCCTTTGGTGCTTGACTCTGTAAAACCAAGTTCTTCAATATTCTTGAGGAGTTTCGGCCACCCAAGCTCAGCTCTTTTGGTTTCAGACTCGGTGAAACTGAGTTTGTTCCTGTTCTCAAAGAGCTTCTGTTGCCTGGACTCGATGTTGCCCGTGCTTGGACTAAATCGTTTTGGCTTTGTTTCCTTGCTGTCAGCCACCGATGATACGCATTTTGAACCCGTACTGTTTGTAAGATCCTTCACTCGGATGGGCCTCATGTTTTCTCTTTTGGACTTTGCCCACTCTGAAGTTCTGACGTCAATTCGATCATGGAGCCGCATCGGGCCCTTCCTGTCAGTCTGTGCATGGTCGAATTCAGGATCTTCTTCGCCAGTGTTGGATCATACGACACTCGACTTGCCTCTGTCTGTCAGATCTTTCCTTCAACTTGACTTTAGCCTCTCAGCACTGGATTCTTCACGCCTTGGATTCTTTTCTTCTGTTCAAAGTTTCATCTATTTTGGTTCCGTCGTGTTGTTGTTCGCTGGTGCGACCTCAGGATTCATCTTGTCCATCCTAGATGCAACTCATTCGGGCTTATTGCCTCCATCGCAAAGCTATACCTACCCAGAATCAAATCCGTCAGTCATGGACTTCGCACACTACGAATCATCGCTGTTGATTCAAAGATTCTTATATCCAGGATCCGTTGTGCCAATGATGGGAAGCACATCTTTTGATTCATTGCTGCTGACCTTGGATTTCAATCACTTAGAGAGTGCCTTGTTGGTTCACACCTTTGTAAGAATGGCGTCGATGCTGCTAGCACCTGACCTTTTGCATTTGGGGAGTTTGCCACTGTTGCAAGAGCTTTGCCACATTGGCGCAGTGACGTTGGCGTCCAGTCGTTCATCCTCAGGCAGTTTCTTGCCTGTTCTGGACCTTCTTCATTTGGGATCAGCGCTGTCTCCGCAAAGCCTCTCTTGACTTGGCTTTTCCATGCTGGTGTTGGATTTTCTGACTCTTGAGCCTTCCTTGTCATTGAGAAGTGCGACATGCGCTGATTCCAGACCTTTGGCAATAGGCATGCTCAGACTCGAATTCATTTTGTCTCTCCCGGATCTTTTGCACTTGGGTTTCACAGCTTCTCCTCAAAATTTTGCAAGATCAGGTTTCTCCTTGTCCATCTTGTATCCAATGAGACTGGGTTTCTTGCTTCCAATTCAAAGCTTTGCCCATCTCGGCTCTGCAGCATCAGTTTTGGACCTTCTGCATCTGGGACTCTCAGCATCAGCTCAAAGCACGACTTGCACAGCCTTCTCCTTCCCCTTGTTGACTCGTACAGCTACGGACTCTCCGGTCTTTGTCTCAGACTTCTTGCACCCAGAACCCTTGATTCTGCTTCAAAGCCATTCCCAACTGGGCCTTTTTTTGTCGATTTTGGACTTCGCACGTTGTGGTTCTTTGCTGCTTTTGCAGGCGGCCGCACGCGTGGCGCTTACACCTTCAGTCTCAGGTTTGACCCGCCTCGGTAGCGTCTTCTTTCTGTCAGTCATCGATGTCACCACATTCGACTCGTTTTTTTCTATCCGATCCTTCGTCTGCTTGGGTTTTTTCATGTCGACACTGGACTCTTTGCATCTCGATTCAAATTTGCTGCTTCGGAGTCCATGCCACCCAGAATCCGCTTTTTTTGTCTCTGGTACAGTCAAGTCGGATTCAACATCGCTGCTACTGGAACATTCAAGTCTGGGTTTGTTCTCACCATTGCACTCCATGTCTCGCTGTGGCTTAGCATTGTTTGTACTTGACTTCCTGAGATTAGACTTCATGCTGCCTCTGCACAGTTTTACTCAGTCCGAACCTCCATTCTCAGTTTTTGGAATAGTGGAGATGGGCCCATTCACGCTTTCATTGGAACGTTTGACCCTGGGTCTGCCTTTGCCAGTGCATAGCTTTGCTTGTTCTGATTCTGGCTTGTTAGTGCTAGACCTCCTTCACCTGGAAAGCTTGACGCTCCTGAGAAGTTTAGGTCAATTTGACTCCCTGTCTTTTCTGCTTGGCTTATTGTGTTTGGGTCCCCTGTTGCTGTTGCCTGACAGCATTCAACCAGGCTTTTCACCCCTGCTACACAGCCCTGGTCGAGCAGAATCAGCCACCCTGGTCTCGGACTTTTTGCATCTTGACCTCTTGCTGTCAGCGCAAGCCTTCTTACGAATCAACTTTGCTTTGTTGCTTTTGGGGTCGGCTCAGCTCGATTTTTTCACGTTCGCCCTGGACCCTGCACTTCCAGGCCTGACTTTGCCTGTGAGATCGTGTGCTCAACTCGAAGTCCCGCTGTTTCTGTCGGATTTTGTCCACTTTGATTTCTTCACGTTGACACGAAATCTTGGCCGCATGGGATTCTTGCCGCCTGCACTTGACCTTTTGACACTTGCTTCATTTTTGTTCTTGAGATGCTACACTTGTTCGGGACCTGTCATGTCCCCTGCGCAGCGGACGCGCTTTGACAGCCCTTTGTTGGTGTTGGACTTCCTCCATCTTGGACTCTCCCTACCGCTTCGAGACTTTACCCGGTTGGGTTTGCACACGTTGGTCTCAGGACTTTCCCGGTTGGACTCAAGCTCCTCTGCGCTTGACGCAGTTCAACTGGACTTCATTACGTCTCCGCAGTCTTCTGCACGTATTGGAAGTGCAGCACTGGTGCTTGCGATGACCAGATTGGGATCTTTCATGTTTTTGCGACAACATGTGCGCTCTGACTCTTCGTCGCTTCTGTCCGGAACTGCATGTCCTGATGCTCCGTCGTCTGTGTCGGAGCATGTCGAATTTGGTTCTTTACCTCCTCTGAGAAGCTGTGCTCATCCCGACTTCTTGTTCCTGGTTTTGGAGGTTGCTCATTCAGAATCACTGATGTCACTGCAAAGTTTTGCACGTGTTGATTTCGCAGTGTCCATGCTTGACCTTTTGCGGCTAGACTCCACGGTGTTATCAAGGACGTTTACTTGAAGTGGATCGACTTTGCCAGTGATAGGTCTAACCTGTTTGGCATCCGTTTTCTCACTGTCGGTTATTGATACAGTGTTACTTGACCTTGCAGTGTTTGTTCAAAGCTATGCATACGCTGGATTCGTAGTGTTTGCCCCGGATCTCCTGCACCTTGATTTGCCGATGTTACTCCAAAGCTTTGCCCAATCGGCACCAATGGTTTCCACATTGGACTTCCTGAAATCAGGTTTGTTGCTCCCGCTTCAAAGTTCTACTTGCTTTGGACTAACTTCCTCAGTCTTTGGGGCTTATCGCATGGAACTATATTTCTCAGTACCAGATGGGGTGAGTTTGGGTTTGTCAATGTTACCTCAAAGTTTCACATGAGTTGACTTTGCGGTGTTCACACTGGACCTTTTGCGCCCAGGTATCTCCTTGCTGCTCCAAACCTTCACATGATTGGGCTTTGCACTTTTGGTGGTTGGTGCCATTTGTTCAGACTTCATCCTGTCAGCTCTTGATGGAGCTTTCTCGGGATTTCCGTTGCTTCTTCGAAGCTCTTCCCTCCTGGGCTTCAATCTGTTGGTCCTGGATTTCTTGCATTTGGGACCTACGGTTTTTTTGCAGCATTCTACTCGTCTTGCATTTCCACCTTTGATTTTGAGAGTTGCTCGCTTTAGCCTGACACTTTCCGCTTTGGACAGAGTTCATCTGGAGCTTTTGCTTTCACCCAGAAGCTTGGCGCGCTGCAGCTCTGCGCTGTTGGTCCTGGACTTTACAAACTCCGACCCCATGCTGTCAGCACAGTCCCTGGCGAAGCTAGATCTTGGGCTGTTGGTCTTGGATTCTTTGCATTTGGGCTTCCCACCTTTCACACGGACTTTTGCTCAACCGGACTTGGTGTTGTTTGTGACTGATCACCTATCTCCAGGCTTTGTTTCGTCTCCTCAAACCTTCTCATGTTTGGAGCTGAACTTGCCGGCATTGGACCACTTGCGTTTGGAGTCCTTCCCACCTCTGCGCAGCCTTATTTGCCTGGGTTTCATATTGCCACTTGGCTCAATGGCTCAAGCAGAATCAGGAGATTGGGCGGCTTAGGACGCTATCCCAGGGATGTGATCGCATCGGTTTTAAGTCCAAAAAAAAAAACGAAGAGGTACATACACACATCATCCAAAACACGAATGATACGAATGTATGCCAAAGATTTCTCACTTCCAGTCAGATCATTGGTGACCAACGGATTGTCTTGGGGCTTTGCTGACATGACTGGGATGCTGGAGGAAGAAACAAACGGTTTCAGATCGCTGATTGGCTGCTCTTCGTGCGCAAGGTATTTTTGTTGGTTTATAATGACCTTAATGGCTTACGTTTTTGCCCAAGCAAACAGAGCTTAGACCGCAGAAAAGGCCTGTCGGCTCTTTACTGCACTCTGCATATATGGCATATACATGTTGCAGTTTAAAGTTTAGAGCCTAAAACTTGTTCTGATGCAGTAGGAAAGGGTGACGCGTGTTTGGCTGTTAAAATAGTCATCGTTCTTCATTTTACATCATTCTACCATGTTGTTTCCATAGCTGCTTGAATTCTCATGAATTATCATATTATGAAATATGAATTCTGTTGGCTATCGTCCAAGGTTGGTTTTGGACTTCACCACGATGGGCCTCTCTCCATCCTTGCGTCAATATGTCCGTTTTGGCAGCTTGGCAATTGTTCTCTCGAAGTTATATCTGGTGATTGAGCAATGATTGTAAATGAAAATAAATAAATAAATTCCAGTCATGTAAAGTTGAAGTGAACATACAGGAACACTATTGCCATAGATAAGATAGCAAACTATTGCCATCTATTTTCATACTTAGAGACCTCTGGCAATTGTCCATATCCTGAATCCAGCGAGGAGACTTGACACTAAGGTTCAACCTTTTCCTCGTTTAGTCGAGCTCACTTTGACTTGATCACGTTGGCTTTGGACATGATTGAGTCCCTTAGCAGCCTTAGCAGTGTGGCTTCATAAGGAAGTGAGTCCTCTAACGTGACAGTTGGGGAAACTCGGAATAGGATCCTTTGCAGGATACTGCAAGGCATTAGGGCCGTCGCACTCAAACTGTGCTGCAATGATGGACATACCGACATACCTCTCTCCCTTTGAAATCCTTGCAAAACACGTTTCTACTGCGGCAAAAAGCCATGTTCTAGCAGTGACAATTTGCCAGTGTCGTCATTAAGACGGACAGATTCGAGTCTGAAACTCCACGTTGATATACATTGATGCTGCATTGATGTTGCATGTGAAGACCTCCGAAAACGTCGTTTCTATATGTCTATACGGTCTATACGGTCTATACGGTTGACTTTGGTTCGCCATTGCCCCTAAGGTCAGACTTCTTGCTGTTCATGCGCAGCTCCTGCTACATGGATTTTGCGCTGTCAGCCCTGGACTTCTTGCATTTGGCTTTGTCACTTCTGGCGCAGCAACTTGCTTTTGTGGAACTCTCAACGTTGCTCTCTGGCAGATCATGTTTAGAGCCTATGCTATCCACTGTAGATTCCACAACCATGGGCTTTCTGCTGTTGGTCCGAACATTTGTTTGCCCTGGTAGTGCGGTGTTTGCCCTAGACCACTTGCGGCCTGAACCCTTGTTGTTGCTGCACGGCTACACACACCTTGGCTTGGTGTTTCTTGCCTTGAGCGCTGCAAAGCTTGAGTTTTTGACGCCCTTGTTGGACTACGAGTATCTCGATTCACTGCTTTCACCCAGAAGTTTCTGCCAACTAGGCTTTATGCTTTCAGTGTTGGACTTCTTTCACCTGGGAAGCCTGTTGCCAGTACACTCACTCACAAGATTGGGTTTTGCGGTTTCAACCCTGGACCCCTTGCGGTTGGGTTTGTTGATGTTGGTGCAAAGCATGGCTCGGGTCGATCCGATGATCTTGGTCTTCGGGGTTGGCCGTTTAGGTCTTTCATTGCTTGTTTTGGACCATGTGATTCTTGGCAGTGCAGCTTTGATCCGAAGTTCCTCACAACCTGACGTGTTGATGCCATTGGCAGACTTTGCACAAATGGGCAGCTTGATGTTGCTGAGAAGTATGATCCACCTAGAATCGGCCATGCTGGTGCTGGACTTCTTGCATTTGGACTCAAGTCTTTTGCTGAGATGCCATACGAGACTAGAATTGATGTTTTTGACCTATGCACAATCTCGATTCGGCCTCACTATCTCGGCGCTTGACAGTTGTCTTTTGGAATCCTCGGTGTTCCTGCAATCCATGCTGCGTGTTGAATTTGTGGTGTTTGCATTGGATCCTTTGAAACTAGATCCAAGTATGTCGTTGCAAAACCTTGGTTGCCTAGATCCCAACTTTTTGCTTGTTGGCATGAGTTGGTTGGGTCTCGTAGTCTTGTCATTGGATTTTGGAAAATCAGAATCACCAGTGTTGCCACGCAGCTCTTGTCACCTGGGTTTTCCAATCTCCACCTTGGACTACTTGAATTTGGGCTCAAGCATGTTTGTTCGCAGCTTCACGCGAATTGAATCCAGCTTGTTGTTGCAAATGTTTGCCTGTTGTGGTTCTGCATATTTGACCTTTGGCATGATGTGCTTGGCCTTGATCCTGCCATTGCTGGACGGATGTCATACGGGGTCCTTCCTTTCTACTCGTGGCTATGGATGCTCGGCGTCTTCGCTGCCAGCCCTCGACTTTTTGAGATTGGAATCGATCTTGTTCTTACAAAACCCTGCATGAGTAGACTTGCCATCTTCGATTCTTCGCATGGTTTGCTGCGAACTCTTTCTGTCCCTGTTGGACTTTTCAAAACTCGAATTCTTCGTGTTGCTACAATCGCTTGCCCAGCTGGACTCGGCATTGCCTGCCTCAGACTTTCTGCACTTGGGTTCTTTTCTTTCGTTGCACGCCTTTGCTTAGTCGGATTTGGCATCTTTTCTGTTGGGTGTTAGTTGCTTGGGTTTTTCCTTGTCGGCTTTGGATTTTGTGCAGCTGGGTTTCACATCATTGTCACATAGTCTTGCCAGATGTGGCTCCGCAATTTCCGTGTTGGACTTCCTGCATTCAGACTTGTTGCCATCGGTGAGAGCCCTTGGTTGTGCTGATTTTCTCATGTCCCTTGTTAGTCGATTGCGACTGGGATTCCTGTTGTTCGCCTTGGACCATGTTCATCTCGGATTCATGATGTCAGTGAGGTCTCCTGCCAACTCTGATTTTTCGTCGTTTCTGCGAAGCTTTGCCAAAGCAGATCTGGCCTTCTTGATTTGTAGCGGGACTTGTCTTGGTTTCACCATGCCTGTCTTGGACCTTGTAGAGCTGGGACTTTCGGTCTTTATGAGGAGCCATTTCCAATCAGAATTCGCTGCACTGGTGCTGGACTTCTTACATCCTGACTTCACAATGTCAGCCCAAAACCTTGCCCAATTAGGTCCTGCCTTTTTGATTTTTGGCCTTAGTAGAATGGGTTCCACCTCATCTCTGTTGGACTTTGATATGCCAGGCTTTATGATGTTAATGCAATCCCTGGCAAGATTCGAAAGCCCCACCTCCGTGCTGGATTTTCTGCACTCAGGTTTGCCCTTGCCTTTGCACAGCTACGCTTGCTTGGACTTGCCAATGTCTCTTGTCATGAGAGTTCGAGTCGACTTCCTTCCTTCGCTTCCGGACCTTGTACAGCTGGACTTCTCTATGTCCCTCCAAAGCTTTGCTTGCATGGAATCTGCGTTTTCCTGCTTCCAATGCATTCGCTTCGGCCTTACTCAGCCACTCTTGGAATACGCCCACTCTGATCTGCTGCTGTTTTTGCAAAGTCGCTCAAGACTTGGTTCAGTGATGCTGGCCTTTGACCTTTTGCATTTGGGCCTCATGCCACTTGTCCGAAGCTTTGCTCACTTTGATTCATGCCTGTTTTTGCGAATGCTCGCACAAGCTGGTTCTGCCTTTTCAGCTTGTGGAATGAGTTGCCTTACCTTGTCCCCATTGGTACTTGACTGTGCATTCCTGGGCCCGTT